ATAGAGATCCATGATGATATATAAAAAATGAACTTTTTTTTTCGAAAAAAACCCACTTAATTTTTTTAGTTTTTTCAATATTTAAGTTTATTTTTATCAAAAAAAACTAATTATACCAAAAATATTAATTTTTTGTACTCTATTAATAAACAACAACACCGATTAAAAAAAACCTCGAACAGTGTAGATTCATACTGTGAATCTAAACTGTAAATATTTCAATTTTTAACATTCACAATATGAAAAATCTCGAACAGTTCAGATTCACATTGTGAATCTGAATTACTATTATGCACACTGTGAATCTGAGAAGGTTCACAAAAAAAAAAAAAAAAACCTCGATCAGTGTAGATTTACACTGTGAATCTAAACTGTAAATATTTCAAAATTTAACATTCACAATGTGAAAAAGCTCCGATCAGTTCAGATTCACACTGTGAATCTGACTTACTATTATGCACACTGTGAATTTGAGGAGGTTCACAATGTGAATCTAAACAGGTTTACAATATAAATCTGAACAGGTTCACAATATGAATCTGAACTGAAATATCGTTTTTTTTTTAACATGAATATGAATCTATGTTTAAAAAGTACAAAAAAAATATGAATTTTGATATATTTATTAATTTTTTTCTATAAAAAATAGGCCTTAACTTTTTTTAATCAAAGAAAATGAAGTGAGTTTTTTTCGAAAAAAAAAGTTCGTTTTTTATATATCATCATGGATCTCTATGGAAAGAGGACGAAAAATCGTGAACAACAGTATATTCGGTTTTTTTTTTTGATAAAAAACAAAGCCTAAAAAAAATTTTAAACGAAAAAAATGGTGGGTTTTTTGTAAATGGTGGATTTTTTGGTATAATCCGGTGTGTGTGCGTCCAATGTCAAAGTGTACATCTATTTCCTTGGCCGTTGATCGTTATGATTTCCGACGCTCACAATTGGTTCCTTGGTTCTTTGGTTAATTATGGTTCTCTATTGAACCTCACCCAGTATATATATATATATAAAAAGAAAAACTTTATAAGGACCAAATATCAAAAGTTTTGAAAACATAAAACCATTTGTGAAATTTTTTAAATTTAGTGACTTAACTTCAGATGTGGGAAAACATAAGGAGTATTTATGATGTTTTTTCGATTTTAAAATTTTGAATAGTTATTTATATTAATTCTCGTTTATCTTATTCTAATACTACTAGCTATTTTAAATTGCATTAAAAATAAAAACAAGCGTGAAAAAGGTGGAATATGGGTCAGGTGTGGATTCACATTGGAGCCGGGGCTGGTGGAATATGGGTCAGGTGTGGATTCACATTGGAGCCTAGGTAGCCCCGGATGTACCTTAATTTTTGTCCGGTAGTGTTAATTTTTTCGAAAAAATTAGGGGACTGTTGTAGATGAGAGAGAACGATGTGTTTTGATGTATAAGGTAGTTGTAACTGCTTGAGGATAGCTTTGTCGAATTATAAACGCAAGGGTTTGCGAGGCGAGTGTGTGACGAAATCCTTTAGGGGTAACGAGTACAACTTGGTAGTTGGGTGAAAGAGAGATGCCATTGTTATTATGAGCATCGTTTCATCAAGCTTTTGCACCGTCTTGGTATAGTTGGACGACCCCGTTTGGGAAAATAGTTTAGATTGGACTATTTACACTTTGACCTCCTATTTTAGATTTCGTATCACTTTGACGCTAAACATAAACACACTCTCTAGCCCAATAGAAAGCCCAAGCCCATATTCTACTTCTTCATCTTTTCTTTTGTGAAATCAAACTCAGTTTCTCAATTTAATATAACCGCAAAACATATTTGATGAATTTTTTTCATTTTAAAGTCTTATTATAAACTTTTCAAGAAATAATGATACATTTAAATCAACTTGGGATATTATGCTACTCTTGATACGTAACCATTTTATTCTTATTTTTAAAGTTATTATATGATTTTTATCCAATAATACACATAACCATTTATCATTAACAAAATAGTTGTATTTAGTATATGTTTTCCTCGTAGAGTATGAGCACCTACAAGATTAAACAAAAGTTATACAATGTTTTAAAAACCGGTTTTTTTAGTTGAACCGGTATGGTGACCGGTTTCCGGTTCAACCGGTTTAACCGGTTCGACCGCTGAGTAAACCAGTTTCTATAATTTTCATCTTTTTTTGTATTTTCGCACACATACCTACATACACAAATCAAGAATATGATGTCCATACGTTCAAACATTAAAATACACATGAAAACAAGTTGTAGATCATTCTAAAAACATTAAAATAACTCATAACCATAAGTTTTACATCAATCTACGTGGATTAAAAAGAAAATAAAGTCCTAGATGAATATAAATGCATCAAAAAACTTCATAACATTTATCATATGCTTTTATTTAGAAAAATTCTAATAAATGTAAAAAAACTACTAAAGTTTATTATGCAAAACGTTTCAACTCCATGTGTTTTTATTCAATTAACCGGTTCAACCGGTTTAATTGAACCGGTTCAACCGGATTTCTGTAAAAACCTGTCGGTTCGATCCGGTTCAGAAATAGACATAAAACGCGTGATAGTTGAACCGCTCCCTTCCCCGATTCCCGGTCCAATCGGTTCGACCGGCCGGTTCAAACCGGTTTTTAAAACATTGAAGTTATAGATGCATTATCAAAGATTAATTTCCAAAAGTAGTAACCAACAAAACAAGTAAGTAAATAAAAACACTCTTTGTCTAATAAAATTGTGATTATTATTTTTTCTTATTGTATATTACGTGAATTCTTTTCTATACTGCCCAATGTTTTAAAAACCAGTTTGAACCGGCCGGTCGAACCGGTTGGACCGGGAATCGGGGAAGGGAGCGGTTCAACTATCACCGGTTTTATGTCTATTTCTGAACCGGATCGAACCGGTCGGTTTTTAGAAAAATCCGGTTGAAACCGGTTAATTGAATAAAAACACATGGAATTGAAACCTTTTGCATAATAAACTTTAGTAGTTTTTTCACATTTATTAGAATTTTTCTAAATAAAAGCATATGATAAATGTTATGAAGTTTTTTGATGTATTTATATTCATCTAGGACTTTATTTTCTTTTTAATCCACGTAGATTGATGTAAAACTTATGGTTATGAGTTATTTTAATGTTTTTAGAATGATCTACAACTTGTTTTCATGTGTATTTTAATGTTTAAACGTATGGACATCATATTCTTGATTTGTGTATGTAGGTATGTGTGCGAAAATACGAAAAAATATGAAAATTATAGAAACCGGTTTACTCAGCGGTCGAACCGGTTAAACCGGTTGAACCGGAAACCGGTCACCATACCGGTTCAACTAAAAAACCGGTTTTTTAAAACATTGATATTGCCCCTTTACTTTGATTATATCTCCGTCACACGTTCTAATACTCAGTGTACAATTCACATCCAAGTTTCATCCCATTGTAACTTCGATACATTTATTAACTTTTTTCATCTTGTGTTGACTTCTTCCATCTTCTTCCCAGAATTTCCAACGCAGACAGAGGAGGGTTTTACCTTCAAAGGAGGTCGATTATACCGCTCCCACGTAGGTACGTTTCATCGATTTCTTATGTTTCTTCTTGGGGCTTCTGATTTCAGTATTAGGGTTTTGTTGTACTGTTTGTTTCATGTCATTGCTTCTTTTGATTTTCATCGATTTGTTTGTTGTTTTTTTTGGAGCTTGCGACTTCAACTCCTCCTTAAGCCACCAAACTAAGGCATGTTACAGATTATAGCAAGTATTATCAATAAAAATTGATATGAAATACTAAAAATCAAATTATAATATAATTTGCTCTTTCCAATTGGTAAACTTTAAAAACTTACCCAAGTATTAAATGACTTAAACATGTCATCAAAAGTGTTTACATGCTTATAAATTTATAATTACTTTATGCAAAATGTTTAATTATTACCTTAATAATATTCTTTTGATAATAATATAATATACAACATGCCAAAGGCATGAAAGAAGGATCTTGAACTTTTCAAGAATAATCAAGCAGAGTAAAAAATGATGACTGCCATAATCAGAACCATTAAGAGCATCCACAATATATAGTTCAATGGGAGAGTTGAATGACGTGGCATGCCTAATTGGCATTCAGTGGATAAAACGCTATCATTGTGGGATGCCATATTGGCATTCAATGGATATGGAGTTCAATGGAAAAATGAAACCTTTTAACTATTAAATATATGTTACATTGAACTCTATTGAGTTCAATGCATTGTAGGAAAATGGATGTAGAGTTGAATAGTAAGTATGATGATGTGTCAATCCATTAAACTCTAATAAGTTTAATGCATTGTGGATGCTCTAAGATACGTGAAATAAAGGATGATATGATAAGATTAAAAAACTTTAATCCAAGATAAATAGAACTAGAACAAAAACAAATTTTTATTTCATAAAATCTTGGATTAAAAGTTCACCATTTTGACTTTGACTTCTATATGCATATCTTGATTTGAAAGAAATGTAGTAATGTAGTATTAGCTATAAAGCCTCAATATCACCCAAGTAGAGCGTAAGTCACAAGTTGATTTCTCTATAAAGAATAAGATGCATGATAAAACCATACATTAGCAAGATAAGTTGTACTATGTATTCTAAGTTTTTGACTATTGTAAGCCTATTTATTTTCTGTTAGATCAGATCTTCCATATTGTCTTATCAAGAACACAACAGAAAAGTAGCACAAACTGATATTCATGGTTCATTCCCAAGAAAAATGTTTTTCCATTATTGTGTTAAACGAATGATAAAATAATATACTTTTTTTAGCACCCTATAAGAACAACAACAAAATTTATATAAATGTGAGGTATTAATGGATTCAAAAAACAATTTATTGTAAAATCCATAAAAAATTACTAACTTGAGGGTTTTTATGGATTTAACAATTGGGGTTTTTACTCACGGTAAAAGTGACCTGACAAAATCATCCGCACGTTGAAGAGCTGAGGGAGTATGGGCAGTATCGATTTGGTCAGCCCTGCACACAAGGATCCTCGAAGAGTTGAGTTGTGTTGATTTGTAGGTTTCTTCTAAGACTAGAGGGAGTGGGTGGGTAGCACCCACGGTTTTGCCACCTCAGCTTGCAGCACACCACCCCTTGTGTGCGGTTTGAACTGCACTCCTCCTTTCCACGGCTCTCTACTACCGCACTATTCAATCTATATATATTCTCTCTCTTGCTGGATTCTTTCTCATCTGTGGCTCGTTTAAACATTTTCTTGGGCTACAAAACCCACAAATGAAACAAACCAAGGGAATATTTATTTGTTGTTTTAATTTATTTAATTTGTATTATTCCTAGCATATTGAACAAAAGAGGACAAGTATTAAATTTTTAGGGCTTATATTTTTTCAAGTGATGAAACAAATGGGTTGTAGGATTTTTTTTTTAAGTTTTTACGAAAATTTTTTAATGCGAGTTTTATTTTTAATTAATGAGTTTAATTTTTAATTAATAAAATATTATGTTTTTAGTTAAAAACTAAAGTTTTTATTTATTAAAAAAAGAAAAAACAAATGTGGCACCACAGTGTGGCAAGAAAACACACTTTGCCCTGCAGCCTAATTTCGAGTTGTCTGTGTTGCATCAAATCAACTATTGAGATTTGAGAGCCTTTGGTCAGGTTGTCATTGTAAAAAATTTTTGATTTGAAACCCACCATGTATTAGGTCAGGATTTAGGGATTGCAACACATCAATCAGGGCCACAGAGTAGAAGGAAAAATTAGGGAAGTTGAGAGTGAGAAACGATTCTTCAGACCTCCAATCCAGAAACGATCGCTCTTTATCACAGTCTCAGTCTCGCTGTTATCGCAATCTGACAATTTCTTATCTGCTTCATCTCGATTCATCGCAATTGGCTTCGGTGCTTCTTCGGTAATCGGCTACTTCATTGAACTATTGAAATTTGAAGGTACATATTAGTTACCATTCAATTAATTAGGTTCATTAACCACTTATCACCCCTATTTGCTTTCTGCGTTTCTTTGATACAATCAACATTGCAATTTGTTTTTGTCAGGAATTGAAGAAAGATTGCGCTTTGAATGGGTACACAAAAAGTTGGGAATGTTGGACTTCCATTGATGAATATTATCAAAATGAAGGGAGTACCCATCCTGCACCAGTTACAGATGGAGGAGTGTCTTCTTCGGACCTCATCAGACAATTGGTGCATCATTAATGATGGGACAGATAAACCTAATATAGTCATGGGGATTTCTGGGTAACTTTCTTTGCAACTCCCAACAACAAATTTCATCTAATCTTTTTCTCTTACATTCTACTTGTATATGTTATATTAGGAAACCTAGTGAACTTGTTGAAATTACCCCTGTGCTACAAGATAACATCCCTGTAATTCGAAGGTTTACTGGTGGTGGGACAGTTATAGTTGATGATGGAACAATATTTGTTTCATTTATATGCAACAAAGATGATGTTCCTCATGTACAACCATATCCTAGACCTATCATGTCATGGAGCAGCTTGTTATACTCTAAAGTCTTCCATGGAATTGCTGATTTCAAGCTTCGTGAGAATGGTATATGATATGAGAATCCAATAAAAATAGTCTACTTAAAACCATAATGCTATTGCTATCTCTCTGTTTGATATTTTGAATTGTGTTTTTTTGTTATAGACTATGTATTTGGTGTCCGAAAATTCGGAGGAAATGCACAATCAATTACTAAAAATCGGTGGATCCATCATACGTCTTTTTTGTGGGATTACAAGACACATAACATGTCATATCTTAAGCTTCCAAAACAGGCCCCTGAATATCGACTGGTATGCTTCTTAATTCTTATTTTTGATTTAAAATTCTACAACATTCTTTTTTAAGCATTTATTTTGTATTTTTATTTTCATGGTAGGCGAGGGATCATCTTGATTTCATCTGTCCCATAAAGGACTATCTTTCAAGATCAGATTTCATTAGCAAAACCATTGATGCAGCAGCAACCCATTTTTCACTTACCTCAACACAACCTCCGTTAAATTTTGAATTCAACCCCACATCAAAATTACTAACCAGACTGGAATTAGAGGCTGCAGCAATCAAATCCTCATAAAAGAAAAGGGGTAGTTTTGACATTTTGGTGATGAAACAGCAAACATGGAGTTCAGTTAGAAGCTGGAGAGATGAAGAAGATGGTGGTTAAAACTTGTGCAAATCACCAGTTTTGTTACATTGAATTTGAAATTAAATACAAAATTGATATTTATTGTGATCATACTGATTTGTATTAATAAAGGATGTATTTGTTCAAAAAGATAGTCAATTTAAAGATCTAGGGTGTGAGATTAAATATTCAGACACTTAAAAAAAATGTTTATTTGATTACTAGTTTATAACCCGTGAGAACCACGGTTATAAAATTAATCAAAATTTCATAGTAAAACTTAAAATTATTAATCAATTATTTCAAATAAATTATTTTAAATAATTTATTAGTTAAGAGATATTTTTTTTTGTTACATAAAATTATAATCGTTGATTTAAATAAATACATTAAAATTATATCACCTTATAATATATATTAATTTTATTTTATTTTTTTATTCTAATGTTATTAATTTAATGTAATTAGAATGTGAAATTTAAAATTTGAAATTTGAAATGAAGAATTAATTATTAATTCTACCCTAATAAATAAAAACCCTTTTGTCACATGTCATTTTCTCCTTGGTTTTGACACATGTAATTTTCTTAGCATTTTAGAGTAATTTTATTTCCACATGTCATTTTATTATTATTACTAGGTGTGAGACCCGTGTATTACACGGGTTTATTAAAAATAAAAAGTTTAGTATCAATATATAAATATTAAACATTTTTTTAAAGTGATAAATAAGTAAGTAATTCAACTTATACTAAAAAAACTATTGACATATTCTAAATAATAAAGCTGAAAATATGAAAATGCAAACATTAAGTATTTTTTTAATCTATATTTGATATCTCGACTTCGGAGAATTTAAGTCATTGAATATTAAAACAAAATTGACAAAATTATATTCTGAAATCATATACAAACTTTAAGCTTACACTGCGAAAAGCCGCATGCAAATCCGATTTCAAACGAATTAGATATGTATGTTTTAAACTTTCCACATAAACCGGTTTCACCCCTAAAATTGGTTCCAGTTCCGGTCCCGGTTTATCCGAACCTGATGGACCTAAACTCAGACCACACGAAACTCGGATAAGCCCATTCTTTAAACCCGAAACCCAAAACTGTTCTAATGGTTCCGATTTCGGTTTAAATCTAAACCCTATTACGTATCTCATCAATTCGTAAATCCAAAAACCTCCAGAATAGTGGAACATTTTAATGGAACTTTCATTTCAAGACGAACAAATTCTAATTTATATGATACTCTATTAGTTTTTTAAAACTATTAACTATTTAGTTATGAATTTTAACCAATAATGATTTTTAGAAAATTCCAACCAAAATGTATTGAAAAGGCTAATCGAAAAGAAACTAATGCAATGAAAAGTTAAAAAGTTTTTTTCATTATTTTAACTCATCCGCAATTCACAAAATCATACACCGTATTTGTTACGCATTTTAGATTTTCTTCGAAAAAATTTCATTTAGTTCATCTTTTATTTTTTTCTATACTTGGTTTGGAGAAATAATAAAAAAATCCCTTTCCAACAGTTTTAGATAAAATAATTATTTTTTTCAAATGAAAACATTATTAATTTCATTTTAATCGGTTAAGGTGTTTGGCTTTATGATGAGTTAAAATACATCGAAAATAGATGTCTTTATGACTTTATTCCCTCAAAAAAACAAAAACCCAAACACCTAATTTTGTACACCAATTCTCTGCACCTAATTTGTTTAAATTTCAAAGAATATTAAGTTTGACCAATTCACAAAAGGGACGATCAATAATAGATAATCACATCAAAACATTAACAAAATTATTTATTTCTCTTCTCCATTCAATTCTTCCTCTCTTTACATCATGACATATGGATACAAAAATACACCAACCATCATAAACTCATAAACTCTTAGACCTTAAAATATATTAAATAGAGAAACAAATACAAATAAATATTTTACAATTATATGCTAGCTACAGTTTGTTAAATAATGAAAGATAGAAACTGTCTCTTAGAATTTATTGTCAATTTTAATACAATGAATACATAACATATATAAACTCTTGCTTAAAATATGGATTTTTAATTTAAGAAAATTGAAATCATAAGAAAATGCCAAGTTGAAATCATAGAAACTCTCTCTTAGATGCAGCGGGGGCATGTGATAGCTTATGCCTCGAGACAGTTGAAGCCTCACGAGGCTAACTACCCGACGCATGATTTGGAGTTGGGGCTGTAGTGTTCGCCCTCAAAATTTGGCGGCATTACCTCTATGGGGTCTGGTGTACTATTTACACGGACCACAAGAGTTTGAGGTACCTCATGGATCAGCCGAATTTGAACATGAGGCAGCGTCGGTGGTTAGACGTGGTAAAGGATTACGATTGTGAGATCCTCTACCACCCGGGCAAGGCCAACGTAGTGGCTGACGCCCTGACCCGCAAGCCGGTAGCGGCTCCGATTCGAGATATCTGCTTGAGGATGACAGTGATTACTCCACTGTTGGAGAAGATTAGGGAGGTGCAGGTTGAGGGCTTGAAGGAGGAGCGCCAGAAGTGCGAAAGGATAGTGGGTCGAGTGGCTTCGTTTAATTACGACAGTCGGGGATTGTTGACCCTTCATGGGAGAGTTTGGGTACCGTACTGGGGTGGAGTACGGCAGTAGACAGCAGGGTTGCGCAAGGCACCATATCGGCTGGCTCCTCCAGAGATGCAGGAGTTGTCTACACAGCTGCAGGAGCTGCTAGAAAAGGGTTTCATCAGGCCGAGTAGTTCACCATGGGGAGCCCCGATCTTGTTCGTGAGGAAGAAGGATGGGTCGCACCGTATGTGCATAGATTACCGGGAGCTGAACAAGGTAACGGTGAAGAACCGTTACCCACTCCCGAGGATAGACGATTTGTTTGAACAGCTCCAGGGAGCATCTTGGTTCTCCAAGATTGATTTGCGCTCCGGTTATCATCAGATGCGGGTCAGAGGTGAGGACGTGAAGAAGACCGCTTTTAGGACCCGCTATGGTCATTATGAGTTCGTGGTGATGCCATTTGGGCTCACCAACGCACCAGGAACGTTCATGGATCTCATGAATCGCGTATGCAGACCGATGTTAGATTGGTCTGTGATAGTGTTTATTGACGACATCTTGGTTTACTCCAAGACTCAGGAGCAGCACGAGGAGCACCTGAGGGAGGTGCTAGAGACACCGAGGAGGGAGAGACTTTTTGCAAAGTTCTCCAAGTGTGAGTTCTGGTTGCGCGAGGTGCAGTTCCTTGGACACCTCGTCAACCAGAAGGGTATACTAGTAGATCCGGCCAAGATAGAGGTCGTGATGCAGTGGGAGGTCCCGAGGTCTCCATCTGAGATTCGGAGCTTCCTGGGATTGGCAGGGTACTACAGGAGATTCATCCAGGACTTCTCCAAGATAGCAGTACCCTTGACCCGACTGACCTAGAAGTCGGTGGTGTTTCGTTGGGGTCCTGAGCAGCAGACAGCCTTTGAGACGCTCAGGCAGCGACTGTGCGAGGCGCCGATTCTTACCCTGCCAGAGGGAGTAGATGACTTTGTAGTCTACTGTGACGCTTCGATCACAGGTATGGGAGCAGTGTTGATGCAGCGGGGGCATGTGATATCTTATGCCTCGAGACAGTTGAAGCCTCACGAGGCTAACTACCCGACGCATGATTTGGAGTTGGGGCTGTAGTGTTCGCCCTCAAAATTTGGCGGTATTACCTCTATGGGGTCCGGTGTACTATTTACACGGACCACAAGAGTTTGAGGTACCTCATGGATCAGCTGAATTTGAACATGAGGCAGCGTCGGTGGTTAGACGTGGTAAAGGATTACGATTGTGAGATCCTCTACCACCCGGGCAAGGCCAACGTAGTGGCCGACGCCCTGACCCGCAAGCCGGTAGCGGCTCCGATTCGAGATATCTGCTTGAGGATGACAGTGATTACTCCATTGCTGGAGAAGATTAGGAAGGTGCAGGTTGAGGGCCTGAAGGAGGAGCGCCAGAAGTGCGAAAGGATAGTGGGTCGAGTGGCTTCGTTTGATTACGACAGTCGGGGATTGTTGACCCTTCATGGGAGAGTTTGGGTACCGTACTGGGGTGGAGTACGGCAGGTATTGATGAACAAGGCTCACAAGTCTCGGTTCTCCATCCACCCAGGGGCGACGAAGATGTACAGAGATCTTCGACCCGATTATTGGTGGCCCTGCATGAAGCGGGACGTAGCTTGGTATGTGGAGAGATGCCTGACCTGCAGGAAGGTCAAGGCGGAACACCAGAGACCCCACGACAAGATGCAGCCATTAGACATTCCCGTGTGGAAATGGGAGGATATCACTATGGATTTCATCACTAAGCTTCCCAGGACCGCACGTGGATTTGATTCAATTTGGGTCATAGTGGATCGGCTGACCAAGAGCGCGCATTTCATACCGATTCAGGAAAGCATATCGGCCGAGAAGCTAGCCGATATTTATGTGCGCGAGGTAGTGGCACGACATGGAGTGCATGTATCAGTAGTATCAGATTGAGACGTCCGGTTCACTTCCACGTTTTGGAAGCGGTTTCATGACGAGATGGGGACTCGTCTTCACTTCAGCACCGCTTTCCACCCTCAGATGGACGGGCAGAGCGAGAGAACGATTCCGACTCTCGAGGACATGCCTCGGGCATGTGTTCTAGATTTTGGGGGCAGTTGGGATACGTATCTTCCATTAGCAGAATTTTCGTATAACAACAGTTACCACGCCAGTATTGACCGCCCTCCTTTCGAGATGCTTTACGGGAGGAAGTGTAGGACCCCGATTTGTTGGGGCGAGGTCGGTCAGAGGGTCATCGGGAGCACTGAGGTGGTGCTCAAGACCACAGAGTTGATCCAGCAGGTCCGTAGCAGATTGCAGACTGCGCAGAGCCGGCAGAAGAGTTACGCCGACAGGAGGCGTTCGGACTTGGAGTTTCAGGTGGGCAACATGGTCCTCCTGAAAGTGTCACCTTGGAAGGGTGTCAACAGGTTCCGGAAGAGGGGCAAA